TATCTGGGAATTCTTATGAGATAATCAAAAAATTGTCGTTTTAAACAATCCTACCATCTTTTGTTCGGCATGGATACCTAGATGTTTGCAATACAAATATTTTGATAATGCAATATATTATAATATAATATAAATTAATATAAAAAGTGGTACATCAAACTTTAGGAAATTTTTCGCTCGTCAAAAACTCCATTCTGTTTTCACCAGTGATTTTCTCTTTAACTTTACTGCCAGGGCATCAGAAATTCTGCGATTAAGTATATGGTTACATGAAACGCATAGAAGTCAAAACATTTCCATTCTATACTTCACTTCACTACTCAAAACTAATCATCGCATTATTACAACCTTGTGACGTAATATACTATTGACGCAAAAATAAGCGTCCCAGATAGTTTTAAATCTTTTTATTACAGAGCGTATTTATAAGAGATGTAATGATGCCAGGAGAATGGGATGTATGCATAACATCATACGAAATGATAATAAGAGAAAAATCCGTATTTAAAAAATTCAATTGGAGATATATGGTTGTCGACGAAGCGCACAGAATCAAAAACGAAAAATCGAAACTTTCCGAAATTCTCCGCGAATTTAAGACCACAAACCGCCTACTACTCACTGGAACGCCGTTGCAAAATAATCTCCACGAGCTTTGGTCACTTTTAAATTTCTTACTTCCCGACGTATTTAATTCGGCGGACGACTTCGACGCATGGTTTAACACAAACCTGTGCCTGGGTGATAACGCTTTGGTGGAACGGCTACACGCCGTACTCAAACCTTTCCTGTTGAGAAGATTAAAGTCCGAAGTGGAGAAGCGACTTAAGCCGAAGAAAGAAGTGAAAGTCTACGTTGGGCTTAGTAAAATGCAGCGAGAATGGTACACTAAGGTGCTTATGAAAGATATCGATATCGTGAATGGCGCGGGAAAAATCGAAAAGATGAGGCTGCAAAACATTCTTATGCAGCTTCGCAAATGTACCAATCATCCTTATCTTTTTGACGGCGCGGAACCCGGTCCGCCGTACACGACCGACGAACATCTGGTGTATAACTGTGGAAAATTGGTTATACTTGATAAACTACTGCCAAAGTTAAGGGAGCAAGGTTCTCGTGTCCTTATATTCTCGCAGATGACTAGGATGTTAGATATATTAGAAGATTATTGTCTATGGCGGCAATATAATGTAAGCGTTAAGGATGCGGATTGCTGTCAGATGTTAACTGTACTTGTTTTCAGTACTGTCGATTGGATGGGCAAACGAATCATGAAGATCGACAACGCCAAATCAATGAATTCAACGAAGACAATAGTGCGAAATTCGTTTTCATGTTGTCAACTAGGGCGGGCGGTCTCGGTATAAATTTGGCAACGGCGGACGTTGTAATCATTTACGATTCCGACTGGAATCCACAGATGGATCTTCAAGCTATGGATCGCGCGCACAGAATTGGCCAAACCAAGCAAGTTCGCGTGTTTAGGTAATTCCGTTTGCATTGATTTGTATTGTTATTTTAACGAATCACATATCTAGATTTATAACTGAAAACACTGTCGAGGAGAAGATAGTCGAACGCGCCGAAGTTAAGTTAAGATTAGATAAATTAGTTATACAGCAGGGACGATTAGCTGATAATAAATCGACCACTTTAAATAAAGACGAAATGTTGAATATGATCCGACATGGTGCAAATCACGTTTTTGCCTCCAAAGATTCCGAAATTACCGACGAAGATATTGATACAATATTACAAAAAGGAGAAGCAAAGGTACTTCCCTCTTCCCGCTCCCGTTTTTCTATTATTTCTGCCTTAAATCTTTTTAATTTCCTCTTCTTACACCCATATTTTCCTTTTATAGACTGCAGAGCTTAATCAGAAATTCGAAGCGTTAGGCGAATCATCTTTGCGTAATTTTACAGTCGACACTCCCAGCGAATCTGTGTATAAATTCGAGGGGGAGGATTACCGAGAAAAACAGAAGACTACGGGTATCGGTCATTGGATCGAACCTCCAAAACGTGAGCGTAAAGCCAATTACGCGGTCGACGCATATTTCCGAGAAGCTCTCAGAGTGTCGGAACCAAAAGCACCAAAGGTCAGTAGATAAAAAAAAATTTTAAAATCATTTTTTAATATAAAATTGATTATTCCTGTGTAGGCTCCTAGACCTCCGAAGCAACCAATTGTGCAGGACTTCCAGTTTTTCCCGCCGCGCCTATTCGAACTTTTAGATCAGGAAATCTACTATTTCCGAAAAACGTTAGGTTATAAAGTTCCGAAAAACTCCGAGCTAGGTCCCGAGGCGAGCAAACAGCAAAAGGAAGAGCAAAGAAAAATCGACGACTCCGAGCCTCTCACGGAAGACGAGCAGCAAGAGAAGGAGAATCTGCTAACGCAGGGCTTTACTAATTGGACGAAACGGGATTTTAACCAATTTATTAAGGCCAACGAAAAATATGGGCGCGACGATATCGAGAATATCGCGAAGGAAGTGGAAGGGAAGACGCCCGAAGAGGTGATGGAGTATTCGGCGGTGTTTTGGGAGCGTTGTCACGAATTGACGGACATTGATCGGATTATGGCGCAGATTGAACGCGGCGAGGCGAAGATACAGCGTCGCGCGAGCATCAAGAGGGCGCTGGACGCAAAAATGGCGCGATACAGAGCGCCATTTCATCAACTGCGAATCGCCTACGGCACTAACAAAGGGAAAAACTACATGGAAGAGGAGGATCGATTTCTCGTTTGCATGCTGCATAAACTTGGTTTCGATAGGGAAAACGTGTACGAAGAGTTACGAGCGGCAATTCGGGCGTCACCGCAATTTCGATTCGATTGGTTCTTGAAATCTCGCACCGCCATGGAGTTGCAAAGAAGGTGTAATACTCTCATCACTTTAATTGAGAGAGAAAATCAAGAATTGGAAGAGAAGGAGAAGGCGGAACGTAAGAAAAAGTTACCCAAAGCTGTTACCATGCCAGGTTTGCCTACACAACCTCTCAACAAGACTGGACAAAAACGCAAAAACGACAATAGCATTGGAAATGTAGAAAAAAAAAAAAAGAAAAAATGAGGTAGTTTTTTCCGTTATTAGTGTCATTTGTAGCTTTTTTTTAAACATTGATACTTAAACAGTGCTTGTATGAGCTGTATGTGTATGTCCATGTATTTATTTTAATTAGGAGTATATATCAGGTAGGCGATTCTCTTATTTACTTGCACAGTTTAATTATTTTTTAAATAAAGATTGTCTTATTTTAAATGTTTTACTCTTTTAGTTTAAAACACTGCATTTGCGACCATTTATGATTGAGGTTACAGATCTGTTTTTTTAGGATTTTCCCGAAATTAAAGTAAAACCAGTGTCACAAGTAAATAATCAATAACAATAATTGTCTTGAAGTTATAAACAGTTAACTAGCCATGTGAATTGAGGCTTAGATTTGTACACTGTGTACTGTTAGCTATAGGGGGCAGTATACGTATTTTGAAAGAGTACACTTATATACACCAGAATAAGCATAAAGGGCGATACTCGCCAATAAAGGAGCACAGACATTGTATTCCCGACAAGCGAAAGTACAGTGAGCCATGGTTTCGGTGGGCAATGATCATTCAAACGGCGATATGCCTCCAATGACGTTCAAATCCTTTGCGCGAGGAGATGTTGTGGAATGCCGCCCGTCCAGGGACATGATTGTGGTGTAACCATTTCCGGATGTTAGGGATTATGTCTTTTAGCGGACGCGTTCCCTGACTGCTGCCATTTATTCACGTTCTCATGTTCGGTGGCCGGACAAGGAGAGGAGAGAAAGGCGTTGCTACAAATGCGATCGTTATAAACAGGGTGCAGGTGCCGTTCCTGCGTAGGATACTGCTTCAATAAATTTCCTGCAGAAGAACAAGAGGAGGATGCTTAGCAATAACGCAAAAGGAATCGAAGAGAGCCGTCATTGTATATATACAATGGTGCCGTTCTGTAAGACCCAAAAGGTAGGTCTTAAGGAATAGGGATTAAAGCGAGACCTGTTTCTTGACCACGTGAGAATGTTTTGAGTGTATCAAACCATATGTTCAAGCCATACAGTGCGTAAATTTGAACTCTGAACAATTCTTCCAACATACTTTTTTATTCAATGATACAGACAAGAGAATGCCTGACAGTTCTGCAACCCACCTTACACACAAATGTGACGGCAAAAACAAAAGAATCTCGAAAATGATTAATTATCCATTGGCTGACCAGAAGACCCTGTATGCAATGTGGTGTATACATACAGCAACACCCTGCACCCATTTTTTTCTTGAAGAGGACCATTACGACTTTAAAAAAAATGGGGTGGCTGTTCCAACTCGTGGTAGGTTTTGATTTATGACGTCATATGCATTCAATTAGACCCAGCAAGTTGCATATCAAATGAAAGGTGTTTATTAGAACTAATCCAATATTATTTAGTTATTGGCACTGATTCGAGATATGACGTCATAATAACCACTTTTATGAGGTTGGCTCCCAAACGAAAACGTTGGACCCTCCATTTATTTGGAAAAGTGCTTGTTTTGATCCCTTCTATCACCCAATTTTTTTTATATGCCTACATATATGTAACACCCTGTAAATATGCGACGCAACTAGTAAATTTTATGACGTTTGTATACGACGACTCTGTTTCAGTTTGTTGAAAGACACAATATTTAAAAATTTTTAGTTTTCATCGGGAGCTACAAGCGACTACACCCAATCGAATGAAATAAACGAATTTTTTTGTCTAGTTTTTTTCCCACGAAATCCATGTAGTTACTTTTACTTGGAACACTCCGTATACAGCTAGAAAGTTGATTTTTTTAGGAAGAATGTTTTAAAACAATCTATTTTTCTTGGGAGGTTTCATCTTTAGTACTAAACTGCTTCTGATAAACGTAACTAATAACGGGTCTTTTTTTAAATTTGACGTCGAAGTTGACTTTGCAACATTGAATTATTGTGAACCCTCTAAGATTATATTATTATTAAATTATTGTAAGGTAATCTTTGTGTGTTCACAATGAGCTTGTCATGGCCAACTTCGACGTCGAATTTTTAAAAATTATAAAGTTCTCCTGTGAGATCGAAGGGACTTCAGCGCATTTTTGTGTCGTGTGAGTCATACAGGAATTCAATATAGTGCCACGAGAATGCCAGAAAGAGTCTTCAGCAACGTTCTTAATGCCCACTCTCCACTACGTCAACCATGGACTTCCTAGGCTCCTATATATTGCGCGCCATCAAGGGGAATGAGGTGAGGCACACGTCGATGTTAGTTGAACCTTAGTGTATGGTTGAACTACTATATAATATAAGGATTGCTCGATCACTGAATTTTTTCGCCGCGTGTAGTGACGTCACTCGCGGACCCAGTACCAGCGCATGCTTTGATTAAGGCCGATTCCCATTATAGCAGCATCGAGCAGCGCGGCGCGGTGAAAAGCTGCTCTCAATTGTTCGCATGTAAATAAGTAGATCCGTTTTCACCTAGGCAGAGCAGAGCGGCGCGGTGCAGCGCAGCAAATTTTAAACGCGTCGGGAAGCATTGGAATACGCGGCGCTGCTTTGAAACGCGCCGCTGTGCGTGTAGACGGACCAGTGGGAATTGAGGAGCGAAGCAGATCAGCGTGGTGCTGCGGCTTGTGAAAAGCATTTGTTTGTCTTCTGTGTTGAGCTTGCGTGTGTTACTGGATTCGCTATGGATTTTTGATTTGCACGATAATTACTAACCTAAATGTAATGATATTTGATATGGTTGGAAAGCATTTTTTCAGAGCTTTCCAACGACGTATCACACATGGGGGGTCACTATTTAAGATTTAAAAGTTGGGGTGGTTAGGGCGCAGGGGGTGTGTCGCCAACTATGTCATTGTGATTCCCCCTCCGAATTACCGAAACGGATTTTGATTTCTTTAAATATCTCGTCTATTTACTAAGATATGAGAGGTGGTAAGTTTTCAAATTGTCACCCTGTATAGTATCCTTGGGTTGAACCCATATGATTTGAGAAGGTGTGCGGGTTGTTGGGTAGGTTGACAACACATAGGTCACGTCCCGCAACGAGGTTTTCAACTAAGGCACCTCGTGCGTCCGTCGTCGGGGAGTACCCGCAATGGAAATTATTGTTTGGCGCCTTTCGCTTTTATCTCGTATACATGCCTTATATGTGCACAAAGCACTCGAGCGAAAATGGTTATACGTAATTTTTTTCAATAAAGGTTTATATCAGTTTCATGTGTTTTTTATCTTTTGCTTCATACGAATCAAAATTCGGTAAATGTTTTTTGAACTGATTTCTGTAGAATTTATTAAAAATATGTGTTGTTCCGACTAGATCAAGCGAACCAAAATCTTACGATTCTAGCAGAGATGAGATAAAATTAATTTTTTAATCCCTTTTGACCTCCTTTAACATAGGAAATGTTCCTAAGTACATACCTACCTACATGAACCAAGCGAAACCTCCTTTTCATAAATTGGGGTCAAGTAATATTCAATAGTATAACGTGCGATCAAAAATGAGCTGCTGTCGAGTCGCCTTTGGAAGTTCAAGTTAAGTACGATTTCCCATGTAAACGAAAATTCCAAAGGTGACTCGACAGCAACTCATTTTTGATCGCATGGTATTGGTTTAATGGTTTAATATTCTTAAGAGAACAAAAACTAGTTTAATCCAGTGTTGCTTATACTATTTTTTCCAATACCGACCGATTTAAATCCATTTTTCCATGAATTGTTCACAAAAAACCAAAAATGAGGGATTAAAATTACCTGTGAATGCACAAAAATTAGGGATTAAATTCAATAAAATAATGTAGGTATTGGAAAAAATAAATTATAAACTTTATGAATGGTTTTTTAGAACCTCGGTTGGCCTGGAAAAAATATTTGATCCCTTTTATCACAATTTTTTACGTAGGTAGGTACTTAGATACGTTTATTATTATTTATTTACAACTGTACAGTTTTTACTTAATTACATTAACAGTAGGTACATGTCACCAACATAACTAATATTTACATTAATATTGTTAAATCTCCATACACAACTTTACACAATACTTCTCCTTCACACCATATACTCTCAAAACGGTCTAAATTTTTTGCAACCCAGGAACCAACCGTACTCGCTTCTTAGCCTGCTTGTTACACTATCAACAAAATGGGTCTTATGATCAGTTGCGGATCTTCCTCGCATCACGTTTGTCGCTGTCCTATAGATAGTGCTTTTTGCCATACTAATCAAATAATTAGCCAACTGGTATTTCGGTGTCTTTTGTGGCAGGCCGCTGTATAGTTCTTGTAATCCAACTTTAGTTTTCGTTAGTCGTAGCACCAGTGACTTCACATACTTCCACAGCTCAACCGTTCTCGCACAATTTAGAAGAATGTGGAAACTTGTTCCTATTGCTTGTGGGCAGAAAGAGCACTTATCATTGTCTCGAATTCCAGATTTCATTAGGAAAACTGAATCCGCCAATCTATCCTTTGCAAACCTTATGTTACGCCCCGTATACTTAACAGTAGTATGACCAAAGAGTTCTTTGGTATGACAATGAAATGAACGTTTTTTTTTAGAAATTTGCAGTATTTGTGGAATTATTGAAACTCAAGTACCTACGTACTGGAATTACATTACTTCGAATTATCCAAACTGCATTTATAGATGGAATAATTAACAAAAATAGTATGCGCTCTTTCCCTTAGTGATTATAGTGTATCGGCGTCGTCAGAGGTCTAATCAGAGCTTTTGTAGGATTAAGTACAGCGTGACCTCGAACACAGTAGTACCATTGAATACGTGATTATTCAATGGTAGTACCTACCTAGTAGCACAGATTTAATAAATCTGTGGTAGTTACCCATATTTAGCAATAAGGTTTACTTTCAGTCGCAAATTTAAACCGTATATAGGTATTTGATTACAGTTTTAATTCTGCATTCTGCTACACTTATTAGAGCATATTTCATTAAAGTTTGGGTGTTTACTTTGACTGTGAGTTCATATTTAACCAACATAACATATCAACCATATTTGTAAATCTGCTACTTCAACGCTTGGTTTTATTCTTCGGAGCTGTAAATCGTTTTCAAATATTGAAGCACTAAAATGCCTGTACTTTTCGTTAGTTCGCACAAAGTTGGAAATATGTGCTGTCATTTTGAGCCCCTTGCATCGCAACCAAAAAGATAAGCTAGAGTTACTTCAGCGTACATTTTTAAAGTTTTTACTGGACCGTAACTATCCTCCAAGAGGATTTGATCAGAGTTTATTATGCGCGAGATTCAACTTTTCATCACTAGAGGTTCGACGAAATCAATCTACTGTAACTTTTTAGCTTTATGTTTTCATGTTCCTTCTTACACTTCCAGAAACTCCACAACATTTTACACTCCCACTCCTCGCACAGATATTTTGCGCAACTCTCCTTTGTTTAATAATGGTTAGGCTTTTCAATAATTTATCTTTTCTCGGAGACATCCATTTTCATATAGGCTCGTTGATATTATAAATATAATGAATAATCTTTAGTTTTTTTCCATTGTTCATGTGCTAAATTAAGGTGTTTTCTAAAACGAATTGTTATTATTTTTATCTTTAGTTTAGAAATTTAATTTTATTTACTTTGTGTGCACTTACCAGGTAAACGTGTATATGTCCTGTAATTGAAATGTAATTTCTATAGGACATTAAATGATTATTATTATAAGGTATACATTTACAAATCAATTTACTTATTCCGAGGAATCTTAAGGGATTAATAAATATATCATCAATAGAATTACCTACCTACAGATAATTACCAGAATTACTAAATTATATAAAAAATTACTCCGATTATTGTCAAAATAGGCAGTCCGATATACATGGGAATTATCAGTAGGTACGATGAATTATTTATTTTTTCAATAAATTCTTGTCTATCTTTCTTAAATGCGAGTAACTGGCGAGGAAGGTTGGCATTCTGTTAGTTTTTTTCCATTGTTCATGTGCTAAATTAAGGTGTTTTCTAAAACGAATTGTTATTATTTTTATCTTTAGTTTAGAAATTTAATTTTATTTACTTTGTGTGCACTTACCAGGTAAACGTGTATATGTCCTGTAATTGAAATGTAATTTCTATAGGACATTAAATGATTATTATTATAAGGTATACATTTACAAATCAATTTACTTATTCCGAGGAATCTTAAGGGATTAATAAATATATCATCAATAGAATTACCTACCTACAGATAATTACCAGAATTACTAAATTATATAAAAAATTACTCCGATTATTGTCAAAATAGGCAGTCCGATATACATGGGAATTATCAGTAGGTACGATGAATTATTTATTTTTTCAATAAATTCTTGTCTATCTTTCTTAAATGCGAGTAACTGGCGAGGAAGGTTGGCATTCTAATAAGATCCAAAACTTTCCCTAATTAGATTAGTCATTTTACGATTTACTAATTGTCTTTCCTTGATGGTTTGGTTCAACTAGTGCATTCATCAATAAAATACACGGAGAATTCTACTGATGAGCATTAGCAGTTCACCTTTCAAAAAGAGAGTAAGTAGCCAAAATATCCTCGATACCTACTTGATACTTTGACATATACCTGGTACAGAACATTCCAATAGAGTACCGCAAACCTTTATGTGTATTCAGTGGTCGAAGTGAGGCGGTATGCGGCGGTATGGCATACCGATAGATAGGCATAACGGATAAAGTTTTTTCATGATAATATACGCATACATACAATACTAAGATTTTATCAGTTCAGCCATACCGGTAAAAAATATTTGCCACTTCGACCACTGTGTATAATAAAATTAATAATAGTAAGTATAATATAATCGTTTCATAATAGGTACGCTGTGGTTCACATCTACCTAAACTTAAAATAAACCCCGTGCTGCATTAAAAATTGGATCGGCAAGTGCAAAATTGGCATCATAATTGTAACAATAATGAATGCCAATTATAGTCCGCTCAGTGGTCTGTGTAATTACCTAATGCTTAAAGGTACCTTCACAATATATTATTTTTTCATTCGCGGTCATTGGAGCGTACCTCAATGTATACGTATTGATATAATTGTATATTGTATGTAGGTATACAATATGCCATCAAAAGATGAGAGATCTTCCAGCACATTCAATAAATGAGGTATATCTGTACGATCAGTTTGCATGTTGGTCATCTACATGTATTATTTATTAAACAATAATGGACTCAATGTCAGACTAATACGTGTCCACTCCCATTAAGCAGAAAAATAGAATTCAAAATCAGTTCTACTCGACACCTTTGGATAGTAGGTATTTTTTGAGGCGCAACAAATATGTCGTAACTGTCGCAAATAAATATGAGGAAAAACTGCCCGGTTATTGTGGCGGGGTCGGGATTTGTAGTGTTGTTTACGGGCATAATATCTTCGTGGTACGTATTTCCGGCTATCGTCGGATACGCCATTAGTGAAGTGAGCCTCCGCAGTGTAGGTAGTCGTCATAAATTTGCAATGTGAATTTTTAGAGAATCGCATTGAAGGAAGGAAACGAAGTTTACGAAATTTGGAGGAAACAGCCGTTCCCGCAAAAAATGAAAATTTACTTTTTTAATGTAACCAATGCGGATGACGTTCAGCAGGGGGCTGCGCCTGTATTAAAAGAAGTTGGTCCTTATGTTTATGAGTGAGTGCAGCATATACTTTAAGCACCTCATTGCAGTTGGATAGTCACAAAATAGACACAAACTTTCAACCCCAATTCGTGACATTAATTAATTTTTGAAAAGTTCAGTTAAAAAGTTGTCTAATTTTTGAGGAGTTGAAGATAAATTACCAGATGCCAATTATTCTTGAAGAAACTTTAATTTCCCACAACTAACCAATTGTTTTATTATTTAATTAATTAATTAGAGAATTTCACTGAAAAATAATTCGAAAATCCTCAAAGAGAGAAACAAATTACAAAAGCGACATTGTTAAAGTTAAAGGCATAGGTAATCCTTATACAGGGTGTCTCGGGACTCGATGAACATAGCTTAACGCCATATTCCTTGGTTAATTAAGTCGAAATTTCCTTATACACTTTCCAGAACAAATCCCACTAGTGCCCCAGAGCAGAGAGTCTAACCTTCTTCAATACCGTTCATGAATTTACCAGAGCTTTCGTAACTTTGAAGTCCTTTTTAGAGCTTTAAACAGGTTGGGACGCCAGAGGTCTTTTTACAGCCTTCTAAGCGTTTCAGAAGTGCGTCCCGAACAATGAAAAACTCGTTGAAAGGTTTTTCAGTTATAGAATATAATTGTTTAAACCTTTTACAGATCATTTTAAGCCCTTTAGAAACATTACCATCCTACTGGCGTCTACTTTCTTAAATAAACGGGGGCTGTCCAGGCCGATTTTGCACATCACAGAATTGGTTTGACTCCCACCCAAGTATGCACTTGTTTCTTTCGTTGGTTTCTTTGATGCTACTTCACGCATGCCTATTCTATATTTGTTAAGCCTATTATTAACGCTTTGTTGTGATTAGTCGAAGTAATTTAAAGGCAAGAACCAACCAAAAAAGTGTTGCAACACGAGTCCACTAGCACCCGTGTCCTAACTCTGAAATTATTTTTGTGTTTCAGTGAATACTGGGAACGAGTAGACATTACCATAGACGATGGCACCGATACGATCAAGTATATGCTAAAGCGAAGCTTCTTCTTCAACCAAAAAGAATCAGGATGCAGAATGGAGGATGATCCGATAACAATGGTGAACGGAGCTTTAGTGGTAGGTATTTTCGCAAATCAATTCGAGTACCCGTCCATTTACTCGTATGATTCCAGAGTACGGCACTTCAGGTCTACGCGATACTGCCCTCGGCAATTGCGATGGTGAACGACGCAGTCCCCTACCTCTACAAGGGGGCAAAAGACGTTTTCATCCGCGCTCCTGCCAAAGATATACTGTTTGATGGAATTTTAATCACCTGTCACGACCCTGAAGTTGGTCAGTAAAACTTCCAAGATTATATCTACTAATGACTTCGTCTTCAGAATTTATATGCAGCGCAATGAAGGGGATGCTCCCACCGACTATTGAGTTTACCAACGGCGGGACTGACTTCAAGTTTTCACTGTTTGGTTACGTAAGTAGCTCGCGAAAGTGCCTATCTAAGCCAATATTCGTTAGATGAACAAAACTCTAGCCGGCCCGTTTGTGATTGGTCGCGGTCTCAAGAACACAACTAGGGGTGACATACTGTTATACCGTGAATCTAACAGCTCTCTAGTATGGCCGGGACCTGGATGTAATAAGATTAACGGAAGCGATTCCACCTTGTTTTACCCACTGAAGACGCCACCCGAAAGAATTTACGCCTACAGTCCGGATATTTGCAGGTTAGGATTCAATTCTTCAGAGAAAGATGCAATCAAAGGCGATTTTAGGTCCATGTTTGTAAGCTTCGAAAAGTACGTCGATTACGAAGGAATTCCCACTTGGAAATACAGCAATAGACCAGAGTCAATAATCAAAAACTCCGAAAACGAGTGCTTCTGTCCACTGGCCAAAAATGAGGACTATAACGATGTCACCAATTGCCCAGAAAATGGCTTGGTTGACTTGACATTCTGCCTTAAGGCTCCGATATTGGTCTCGAACCCTCATTTCTATCTAGGGGACTCGTCCTTAACCGAATTTGCGCGCGGAGTAAACCCGGTGAAGGAATTGCACGAAAATTTCATGTATTTGGAGCCGGTAAGTTTGTAACTTGAGGTACAGTTGCGATTTGCTTTGGGCAAATAGATTACAGGAAATCCGGTAGCAGGCGCCAAACGTTTGCAGATGAATGTTCGATTAAAACGATTTGAAGATTTTGAGTTACTCAACAATGTGAGCGAAGGAGTTTTCCCAATGGTGTGGTTGGAGGAAGTAAGTTTGCGTTTGTTCGATTTGTGTGTTACCTGTTTCATGCATTAGGGTGCGCTGATCCCGCCGGAATATCGAAAAATGATGAGCGCAGGCCTTTCTCAGCTTGCAATGTTAGATGTAATCAAGTGGATTTTCATTCTTACTGGAATATTGTTGATGGTACTTTCATTTGTACTTGTTATGTATAAAGAGCGTCTAATGTGCTTTGCAAATTCTGCATTCGGCAATAAGGTGTCGATAACAGACGTCAAGAGCCACTCCCGTGCAGGATTTGCAGATCCAGTCACCGAGATTAATTTTAATAACACTTCTATGTATCCGTCTTTATATCCACAAGTGAACGAACAAAAATTTAATGACAGAGTCGTTAGGAGAAATAATGCAAACCCTACGATATTTCATGTTACAAATTGAGCTCTGCAACTGCACCAGTGTCTTAAGTAACACATACCATATACCTAGTTCAAAAATAAATATAGAATAAAGTATTCCTGTCCTTGCTTTGCCTAATAAACTTAAATACAAATTTACCTTTATTTATTGGTATCTCATTTTATTGTGTCTCATCGCTTTTTGGTTTTATAAGTAGTTGATGGCTTTACCTCGCATCCCACATGCATTTTACTTACGTAGTATTTGCTTGATTTACCAATCTTATGACCACATATACTCTTGTCTCTATGATTATCATTTTGTCTTGAATTCAATACCGTCATTAACTAACATTTACAATCAAAGAGGAAATTCGATGTAAGGGTTCTTTATAGAGGGCACTAAAAAAAACTGCGACTGTTAAGTGAGACTACGGATCAGTAAAAGTTTACTCGCAAAAATCAAATCATTCAGAGTAATCCTCATTTGTGCCGTAGGTCAATAGTTGTAAATCAAAATCAAAATTTCCAGTAAGCAAGTGGATTTTGTTTAAAAGATATCAAAATAGTTACTTATGCACCAATTTCGTTGAGACAAAAATTGTCTCCTCGAAACCGGCGATGGGAGTTTATGCATTTTTGTGACTACATATATTTTAATGAAAAAGTCAACGCGCTTGCTTTAAATTGGTGCAGGATCGATTTAATTGTGGTGGTGTTATAAATGTGAGTGTGCCCTCTCCTTCAGGGATTGCAACAAACGTCGTAACAGAGCTCACTTTCTTTGCTGATGATGTCTCATTAAAGGATGGTTACGATTATTTATGGGCAGAGCTGGGCAGCATATTGTAACGTTATTTATAAATTCGGGTTCGATTTATATCAATATTTATTAAACAAAACTAAAACACTATAAAAACCGTACAATTTATATCGATTATTATATCACACACACTTCGCAATATATTTCAGATTTTCGCGCTCATACGTACTCGTTCCGTAGTAGACTGCCGCGATGTTCGGTCCGCAACCATTTATACACGCAAGCAATGTAAGTCCAGTACATTCTCGAATACGCGTAGAAAATTCCAGAGAATTCTGGAGCATTTCCGTTACAGTGCCCCCTTCTTAATTCTGGACGTCTCGTTCAGAAACTGCGTTAGTATTACTTTTTAATGCCTCGTGTCGGAATCTGCAGTCAGAGCCTGCTCGACAAACACCTTTCTTAAAAAAGTAACAGTCCACAGTTTTGCGGAGGGTCGTCCCCTGTGGGTTGAAGCAGCATACTGTAATTCGAACGCTAGTGTTTCTAAAAATCACTTCGATCATGGTTCGCACTATTTTCCAGTCCAACCCATCTAAACCACATCCAATCTTCGGGATCGCCAAGCTATTTATGTCATAGTATGCCATGAGTTTCCTTAAGCTTTTTAAAGCAGACCAGAGGTTTTCATAGGTGGGTTTGCCTTCTGACGTTTTCTTTGAAACCAAGTAAAACAAAGAGCGTTGACTATCTTCCAAGCGCAGTACTTTACCCACTCGTGGTCTTTGCTTTAACAACTCGTCGATTCTTCCAAATCTTTTCCGGAATACGGAAGCTATACCTCTACTCATGCGAAGGTCTTCGGCGACACAATGGGCGATGGAAACGTTAATCGGAAGCTCAAAAATATTTTGACAAATTTCCTGAGTAACGCCAAATCGAGCTTTCTTCCGCTGGGCGTAATTTGACATAAAATCGTTAAAGTTTGGCTCGATCCCAAAGCTGCGTTCCTCTTCTCGAATACTTACCTCTAACTTCTTCGTTGTTGTTGGATCCGGCATATCGTGCGAGTCGATTAATGTGGACAACTTTCGGTTTCCGGTGGTTCATTCTGATACGATATATCACGTCATTTATTTTCTTGATCACCTCATATGGACCTTCCCATTGTCTTTGTAGCTTGGGAGAAAGACCTCTTCGTCTCTGTGGATTGTGCAGCCATACCAGATCTCCAGCTTCAAAAGTTTCATTGGCCGAGCGGAGGTTGTATTGATTTTTCATGCGATCGCTGGCAATCTGAATATGACTTCTAGCCAAGTCGTGAATGTCATTCATCTTCGCCTTTAGTTGGTCAACATAATTTTCACCTGCGACATATTCTTCATGGGTTTACGCCCAAACTCGAGGTCACATGGAAGGCGTAGTTCACGACCCAACATAAGGCAGGCAGGAGTCTGACCCGTGGTCTCGTTGACGGCTGATCGATACGCCATAAGGAACAGGTGGAGGTACTGGTCCCAATTTTTCTGATGTTCTGCCACGACTTTTGAAAGATATTTACCCATCGTTCGATTCATTCTCTCAACCATTCCATCTGACTGAGGATGCAAAGGTGTTGTTCTGGTTTTATTGGCTCCTACCAATCGACAAACATCTTGGAACAAAGCCGACTCAAAGTTCCTTCCTTGATCTGAATGGATTTCTATAGGAACACCAAAACGTGTAAAGAACTCCTTTACCAACACTTCTGCAACTGTTGCTGCCTCTTGATTTGGAATGGCGTAAGCTTCAGTCCACTTTGTGAAATAATCCATAGCGACTAGGATATATTTATTTCCGCCATCTGTCTCGGGAAACGGTCCTGCGATATCGATAGCAACTCGTTCCATCGGACTACCAACATTATACTGCCTCATGGGTGCCTTCTTCTTGGAAACTGGTCCGTTTCCAGTAGCACATAACTCACATTTTTGACACCATCGCCGGACATCTTCTTTACGGTTGACCCAATAGAATCGCTCACGTACCCTTTGCATCGTTTTCGTAATACCAAAGTGTCCTCCGGAAGCGCCGTCATGCAATTTTCGCAATACTTCCGACACTTTGCTTCTAGGTACTACTAATTGCAGCGTCGATTCGGTGCCATCCTCACTTTCAAGGGTCCTATACAACAGGTTGTCTTTCAGAGTCAGGCTATTCCATTGGCCCCAATAACTCTTTACTTCAGGACTTGTGGCACTAATGTCTTGCCAGCCTGGTCTTTGTCCGTGGCGCATCCAATTCAGAACAGTTTTTATATTTGGGTCGTTTTCTTGGGCCGTTTTGATTTTGCTTGGCTTCCATTCCTCACTCTCTACAGTTGTTCGTCGCAGATGGCCAATCTTGTCTTCTATTTTAGAACAATGTGTGCAGTTGTCTTTGCACGGTCTTCTTGACAAAGCGTCTGCATTATTGTGAACTTTTCCAGACGACGTAATGTTTACAGTGAAGATCGGGGCTTTGTTTCTGCAGGTCGACGATAGCCCCTTCCTGTCGACCTTTCTTAGTTTTCCGACTGCTGCAATGGTTTTTGGCAGTTGCGGCGAACGTGTCCAATCTCGCCGTGGTTCACGTTTCTTTGCCAGTGACTGTATTGCTTTATTGATCTTTTCTTCCATTACTTTACTGACCTTTTCTTCCACTTCTTTACTGACCTTTTCTTCAAAACTTCCAGAGCCACCTTCCTCTTCGATGATTCTTACCCGGCTGTCACTGCGAGGTTCCACCATACGTACTCGCGCACTTCCATGACTAGCTTTCTTGGCGGTTTCGAATTCTAACGCATGGGCCAAAGCTTTCTCAATTTTGTCGTGCCTAGCCAGTCTCAAAGCCTGCTGGGCATCTCCATCACGAACGGCATCGATAAATGTCTGTACAGCCAGTTGATCAAGAAAGCTCTCCGGTGCCGTAGGGTATGCCAATCGAATCAGTCTAGCGATGTCCGCTTCAAGTTCCTGCAAACTTTCTCCAGGTTTCTGCATTCGGTTCTTGACTTGGACATAGTAAACTTGCTGAAGGTGTTTATCTCCATATCGCATTTCGAGTCGCGCTACTATTTGTTGGAAGTTCTGTTGATCCTCGGGGATGGTCCGCAACACATCCAGAGCATCTCCTCTCAGAGCAAGAATAAGGGCTGTAGTTTTGTCTTGAAGAGTCCATTTATTTGCCGCAGCCGCTGCTTCAAACTGTCGAACGTACGTGGTCCAAGGAATCTTACCATCAAAAGTAGGTGGCTTTATTCGGGCTTGCTGAACGTCGCCTTCTACTCTCGTATTTGTTTCTGGGTCGACCTTCTTGTAATGAGTAGACTGTGGCACCTCAAGGAGACGGTCCATCAGTAATTCATCTGGGGCACTACTAGTACGCTCTTCCGTAGTCAGTCGCAAGAATTGCTCGCGCAGCTCTTCATACTTGTGCTCAATCTCAACGAATGTTGCTTTAAATGTTTTGGAAACTTCCGTAATTCTATCTTCAACTTTTTCTTCAATTGATTTAGGGACTTCTTCGATAATCTTTCTAGAATTTTCCTCCATCTTTTCGAACTTCTCGTCCATTTTTCTAGAATTTTCCTCAATCTTCTCGAACTTCTCTTGAATATTTCTAGAATTTTCTTCATTAATCTTTCTAGAATCTTCTTCCATTTTCTCGAACTTCTCTTGAATATTTCTAGAATTTTCTTCATTAATCTTTCTAGAATTTTCTTCCATTTTCTCGAACTTCTCTTCAAAATTTCTAGAATTTTCTTCCAACTTCTCTTGAATATTTCTAGAATTCTTCATTAATCTTTCTAGAATTTTCTTCCATTTTCTCGAACTTCTCTTCAAAATTTCTAGAATTTTCTTCCAACTTCTCTTGAATATTTCTAGAATTTTCTTCATTAATCGTTCTAGAATTCTCTTCCATTTTCTCGAACTTCTCTTCAAAATTTCTAGAATTTTCTTTCAACTTCTCTTGGTTGCTTTTTATTTCTTGTTGCAACACCTGTTGGCCATTTTGGATTTGCTGGAGCAAATTGAGCATCGTTTCTTCCATTTTAGCGGCAGCAGATCTTGTTACAGGCATACACAAGCACAAGCACTTAATTTAATCTTACTTTTAATTAATTTAATTAACCCCGCACCTGACACCAATGTAACGTTATTTATAAATTCGGGTTCGATTTATATCAATATTTATTAAACAAAACTAAAACACTATTAAAACCGTACAATTTATATCGATTATTTATATCACACACACTTCGCAATTTATATTTCCGCGCTCGATCTCGTTCGGTAGTAGACTGCCGCGATGTTCGGTCCGCAACCATTTATACACA